ATTAAGTATTGTATGTATTGCTTAATTGCAAATTAATATATATATATTAATTTGATGCAGATTTGAGTTCCGTTTACGGGTTGTCCTGGCACCCGACGGTTATCTGACTATGGTATCTCGTATAAAAAATCTCAACACGGACGGGAGGGATATTATATTCAATTTTTACTATCAAAACTACTTCTCTGTCTCCGATATCGGGTACTAATTAACGAGATAAAATAATTCATGCATGCATGCTCGATCTTTTTACGTTAATTCTCTCGATTTTGATTTTATTTTTATTATATCTTCCCGTATTCGTATTCAGTGATATTAGGATCGAAGGATTGGAGAAAGTGGATTATCTGCAGAACAAAGAGCGATTTACGCAAGGGACTGATGCAATCACTTTCGAATCTGAAGTAAGTTATAAATGCTGATTTTTACCTGAGTTTAATTAATTAATTAATTATGCTTTTGTTAGCTAATTAAAAATATATATAATATAATCTCGTGTAGGTCGACAGGGTATATCTGAACATACCGGTTACTCAATTTGCCTCTGTTATCGACCCTCGAAGGAACCGATATTGCCATATTGATAAAACTTATGGTCTTCCGGACATTGGTATATATATAATGTTTTTAATTTAATTTATATAATGTCGTATTTTAATTTATACGACGAATTAATTAATAAATGAAATTGAATTGATTTGTATAGGTGTGTGGAATCCATGGGAAGAGAAGGCAAGGGCAATGGATGATTTAGGAAATGAAGAGTATAGGAAGATGGTTCGTGTTGACGTAGCTGTTTTCGGGCGCGAACTTACGATGAAGCCCTTTCGGGAGTGGACCGGGGCTCAGCATCTTACTTCTAATTGATGCTCTGCTGCCTCAGAATATTCTTTAGTGGGACCACTTCTAACTAATTAAAGATAAAAATCTTATCAAATATCAAAACTACAGAATTTGTTGTTACAGAGTTTCTTTAGTCCATTCAACACATAAATGCATGGTGATCATAATAGGATGTGATTTTTCAATGTTTTACTACAAAGTTTCTCTTTAATTAGTCTCTTTGTGCTATATATATATATATATATATATATATATATATATATATATATATATATATATATATATTATATTGAGTTTAGCTTATGTTGAGATAGTAACTAGTTCTGCATTTGATGTCATTCACAATCTCTGCTTTTAATTAACTCATGAAAAATGAGTCTTGATATATACTAGTTTGTCACTACCTAAATAAGGTGTACTAGCATATATATTTTACAATTTTTGATTCAAATTAAACATCAGAAAATCGGTACGTAGCATGTCAAGAACCCTAGGCTCTTGCTAGGATGTAATTAGGAATGGGTCTCGGGATTTCGAAAGTAAGATCATCGAATTTTATGTAATCGTGATTATCAAGAACGGGTCCCGGGATTTTGATATCGCATAACCGTATATCTCACTCACTTCATGGATTATTATCTTCAAGGATTGCCTAAAAAGAGTAATAATAGTAAGAGATTAAGTTTAAAACGGATGTGCCGTTAAATAGCTAATAATGGAGGCCATTCACCGACAAACACGTGGAGAATTTTATTTATTTTTTCTTTCATTTTTCTGTTTCTTTAAATAAAAAAACTTATCCAACACATCATATTATTTATATTTTACATGTCCTGGAACGGTTCCTTCGACCCTACACCGGTGAAAAATACCGGGTGGGTCTTCTGATACCACGTGTTTTTTTTTTTTTTTTCTAAAACCCCTAAAGGTAAACCCTAGCGGGAAATCTATTATAAAATACAAAAAAGAGACACGTGACAGTAGAAGACCCACCCGGTGTTTTTCACCGGGTGTAGGGTCGAACAAATCGTCTTGGAACGGTGAATAACACAATATTTTATGAATGAATAGAATAATAAATAAAAAAATCAATAACATAACATATAAACATTTGAATAGTAAAAGAAAATACAATTACATTCTCAAATAAAATTACAAAATTCAATTTTAATAATCATATATAATAAATCAATAACATAACATAAATTCAGTTTTAATTCAGTAGTAATAATAAAAAATAGTAATGGTAATAATAGTAATAACAATAATAGCAGTAGTAATAATAATAATAAGGCTGCGGCTATATGAAATACTTATTTCACTTGTCCAAGACCAAATTAAAGAAAGATTCCAAAAGACTCTATTTTATTAAGATGAAATAATAAATATACTCATAAATTAAATTGGCTTTTTTTTTTTCTCATACAAGACCAAATACAAATAACAAGGAAAGAAAAAACAAAAAAAAAAAACAAAATAGATGCGTAAATTAAAAAAACAAACACCCCCCTCCTCAAATCCTACATACGCCCACCTTCTTCACCTACGCCCAGCTTCTCCGCCGTCAAAACTCCGCCGCCCAAGCTCCACCACCGATCGTCGCCGTCGCCATCCCCGCTGCTCTCATTCATGAGCGACCCAAACCCAACAACGAGGAAAAGCAAAGAGGAAAAACAAATTAAATTTGAAACTAGTAAAAATCGACACCAAGGTGTGGAAAAACTGTGCTACAAATCGACACTTAAGCGTCGAATTTTATAGGCAAAAATCGACATTTACATGTCAAATTTATAGCACAAATTCGACATTGCCAAATGTCGAATTTTATGTCTAAAAATCGACATCTGAATGTCGATTTTTACCCATAAAATTCGACCTGTACATGTCGAATTCGTTTGCGTGCGATTTTTTTTTTGGAAAAATGATATTCTAGCTAAAAAACCCATAAATGCATACCTTCTTGGGTTTTTCCACCGTATAATCTTCTATTTTGATGTCTTCTGACTCCATACTTACCATCTTTGTAAGATTTGTTGAGTTTTGATGATTTTGAATGTTTAGGTTTTGTGAGTTTATGGAGGAGGAAGGAGAAAGGTCTTGTGGGTTTTGAAGGAATGGAGAAGATGAGAGTTGGTTGGGGTCTTGTGATAGAGTTTTTTGTGTTTTTGAATATTTGGTCTTGCACATTTGGAATTTTCTCTTTTTTTAACAAGTAAGGGTATTATAGTATTTATACATTGAAAATTTTAATTTGGTCTTGCACAAGTGGTTTTAGTCTTGCATATAGCCGCAGCCTTATCAAAATCCTCCGATATTTGTTTCAATCTTGCACCAACCTTTCTATAGTGTGTTTTTTTGCAGGGTTTTTTTTATTCCCGAGAATATTCCCCGAAAATTCCAATTATACCCCTAAGAACGGTTTCTGAAATACGGGTAGTCTTAGTATACATTCTACAGTAACCTCATTTTCTTCAATATCATATTGAAATGTCACTACACTTCTGAATTGATAGTATGAACTATCATAGCATACGTAGGCAATTTTTTAAACATATGTTCATGAAAACATCCAATACGTTCTACGTCTGTTGAGATAGAAATGATTTTTTTCGGAAAATATTATCTGGAATAAAAAACATTTTATGAAAAATCACACCGTAAAAGAGTCAATGTAAGACGCAAACAAACATCGGGTTATTTTGATAAGGATAAATGGCAAATAGGCCCATAACAAGGGCACTTAATTAAAAGAGGGACATCCAACTTTTTTGTCTTTCAAATAAATCCAGCATATTCAAACTTATTTGCAAATTAGGAAAATCCTTTTACATATACCAAAATTACCCCAAATTCATTGAAAACCAATTCAACTCCAATTTCATGATTTACACCCCAATTTAGCCCAATTTCATCAATTAACCAATTTTAACCCTAATTTCAATTTTGACCCGCCACCACCGGAGACCGCCGGTCGCCGCCGTTGACCGGCGTTGACTTTTTTTTTTTTTTTTTATATAATTTTTTTTTTCTTAAAAAAAAATATTTTTATTAATATTACCGTTATGGCTGCTAAATTACTGTCTCCGGCAGTTATTTAACTGTCGGAAACAGTAATTTAACTGTAAATTGACTTTTTTTTTTTCTTCAAAAATATTTTAGTTAATATTATTGTCTTTGTTACTAAATTACTGTCTCCAGCAGCTATTTAACTGTCGGAGACAGTAATTAAACGGTTAATTTATTTTTTAAAAAATATTTTAATTAATATTATTGTATTCGTTGCTAAATTACTGTCTCCAGCAGTTATTTAACTGTCGGAGACAGTAATTTAACTGTTAATTGACTTTTTTTACTCTTAAAAAAAATATTTTTAATTAATATTACTGTATTCGTTGCTAAATTAATGTCTCCAACAGTTATTTAACTGTCGGAGACAGTAATTTAACTGTTAATTGACTTTTTTTTTTCTTTTTTTAAATTTTTTTTTCTTAAAAAAATTATTTTAATTAAGGGGCCATTTGATATACACCCCTAGAATGGAAAATATATAGGGATAAGTCCACCCCTAAAATTCTTTCTTTGAGATACACCCCTGGAGAGGCAAAAGTACTATTGTGCCCTTATTTGTAAATTTTAACCAACTGCATTCAGCATTATAGCTAACTGCACTCCACACTTTTAGACCTGCATTTATCAATTTTTCAGATTTTTTAATAAAAAATTATAAATTTTTATTTTATTATTATTTTTTTATACGTACCCTCTTTTTGTATTTTTTAATTTTTTTAAATGTTTAATTTTTTTTTATTTTTTATTTTTTAATTATTTTTAATTTTTAATTTTTAATTTTTTTTTAATTTTTTTTAATTTTTTTCTAATTTTTTTAATTTTTAATTTTTAATTTTTTTTTTAATTTTTAATTTTTAATTTTTTTTTTTAATTTTTAATTTTTAATTTTTTTTTAATTTTTAATTTACTGTACTGAAATTGACTACACATGACTATAGTATACCACAGTCATGTATAGTTATATGTAGCCATGTACTGTTTTTTTACCCCAAAGTTATGGTCGATCGATTATAAAAACCGTTGATTATATATATAAAAATCATCTATACCAATAAATAAAAAAAATCAAAATTTGATTCTTGATATTATAAATAATTTAATGCCTAACAAAAAAGTGAAAAAAAAAACACAATCATCAAGATTACTATACATCAGAAAAACCACATAGCTTGTACATAAATATATATAACTATATGGAACTATGCATGACTACAGTTATCTATACGACTAAATTTGACTCAAATCGCACTTGTCAACACGGGAACCAGTTGTTTTGAACAACGAACACAATCCACTCCGCAAAAACTTACTACATAGTAGTTCAAACACAAAGAACTGTGAAAAAACTTACTACATAGTAGTTCAAACACCAAGACCTGTGAAAAAGAAAAAGAGTTAAACAAACAACGAATTTTGCTTCAAATTTAAATGTGCACACACGCACTATCACCTACTGGTATATATAGATACTCCCCACATAACTCATACATTCCCCACATAATTCATACATGACTACATGACTACATAGTTTATATATAACTATATATTACTACATGTGACTACACCATATATTACTGTATGTTACTACACGTGACTATATATTACTATATGTGACTACACCATATATTACTGTATGTTACTACACATGACTATATATGACTACATGTATATGACCACATGTGACTATATACATGCATGTGACTTTATTTGTCCCTTCAAGTACCTGACTTTGTTCTCCAGGCGATAAGAGACAACTTATATTATCAAAATCAAATTACAAACAGAGTATGCTAGTCATTATTCTTCGTATAACCAAAGGTCAAAGATCAAAGCAAGTTGAAGTGGAACACCATAGATAAAATAATAGTTGAAACACACTGTAAAGTAGTCACCTATTTCATTCTCGATAAATAAAATATCAATATCATATTACCAACAAAATATTCTCATCACGAATCTACATATACTCCCAAGTATAAAAAGAAGTAAACAAATCATTTGAGGACCAATAAACAGTGATTCAATATATTAAGAAGCACATTAAAATTCATTACCTTTTCTATGCCTTCAATGGATGAACAGTCAGTTTGGTCGCACCACCACCAGGAACAAGTTTCGATTTTTTTTTTTTTTTTATTATATTTCTTGCCACAACAATCGCGTTTTATGTACAAGTCGACTCCTAAAATTAAACTCACAGCTTCACAAAAAAAAAAAAAAAAAAAAAGAAAAATTAAAACCAAAACTCAAAAAATAACTGCAAAATTCGATGATGGTGAACTCAAAAAATACCTGCAAAATCCGAATTACATTACATGAAAAATACAAAAAAACAATGAAAAACACTTTATTGATAAATTTACTTTGGTGAACTATAGTCACATGTAGTTATGTCTTCTTGTTACTACATATGACTATATATGACTATATGTAGTCAACTATAGTCACATGTTGTTGTGTTCATTCTTGTTACTATATGTGACTATATATGACTACGTGTACATGACCACATGTGACTATATATGTATATAAATAAAATTCATCTACACCACCAAAAAAGTCATGAAATCAAATACGAGCATCGAACATGAACCTATTCCGTCCGCAATAATATGAAGATAAAACTATAATAAACTATAGATACAGTTCTAGAAAAAAAACTAAAAGGCCGAACGCTTACTTTCTGAACAGATTATTCAGGGGCGCTGTTTTTGAAACAGTAAATAGTGGAAGGCCTTCTCCTGCTTGCAACACGAAGCTTCGAAGAAGCAGGAATTAGCGGCAAACAATGGAGGTCCTGTGAAATTCTCGTGTTCGTAGCGGGACCCATGTACTCTTGCAAGACCTGCAATCGCAATTGATAGTAAATTCCGAGGATTAACGACTCCTGGTTTAAAAAAACAAACACACACACACACATTCGTGGCTGAGATTTGTAAACAAATTAAAATTAACAAGCTAGTCGACCTACTGTGTGCGGATCTGCTATAAAAACACAGCGATTTTCCAGATCCGTTGTACTCTTCATTCTTCGCATCTAGGGGCAGCAGTTTGAAGCAAATGGCGGTGGAAATAGTTGGCGGCTGAGCTCGGCAAGGAGGTGCGGCGGAAAGAGAGGCGGCGCTAGACGGAAGGGGAGCGACCGCTTGAACGGTGGAGGTGGAGCGGGGATGCGCGTCGGAAGAATGGTTAGAGAGAGAAAAGAACCGAGTAGCGCGATGGCGGAGCAGCGGTGCAAGGCTCGGGCAGAGCAGCGGCGATTTTGCGTCCGTGGCGGAGCAGCGACGATTTTGCGCCGGTGGCGGAGCAGCGGCGATTTTGCGCCGATGGCGGAGCAGCGGAGCAGATGGGAAGTGAGAGAGAGAAGAGGCGGTGGGAGAATAGAACGAAGAATTGTGAGAGAAAGAGTTAGGGTTTTACTTGTAACTAGAAGGGCAAAATGGGTATTTTAGTTTGTCCAGGGGGTCTGTCAAATTAAGATTAGAATTTGGGTTTTTGACTAGGAAAGAAAAATCAATAGGGTCTATCCCTATATATTTTCAAAATTAGGGGGTTATCCCAAATTTCCCCTTTAATTAATATTACTGTCTTGACTGCCAGTAATTTAACTGTCTTAGACAATAATATTAATAATATTACTGTTCGGGAAAATAATATTCATAATATTACTGTCCCAAACACTAATATTACTGTCTGAGATAGTAATTTAGTAGTCAAGATAGTAATATTAATTAAAATATTTTTTTCTAAGAAAAAAATAAAAAAAGTCAACGCCGGAGACCGGCGGTCAACGGTGGTTGACCGGCCGGAAAAAAATTTCAGGAAAAAAAAAGTTTTCAAAAAAAAAAAAAAACAGTCAACGCCGGAGACCGGCGGTCTCCGGCGGTCAATGCCGGAATCTGACTAGAAAAAAAAAATTCAGAAAAAAAAATATTTTCTGAAAAAAAAAAATTGAGGGTTAATGTGATATATTTGTTTAAATCCGAGGTCAATGTGTAGTGTTAAGGAAGTTAGAACATAATGAGTGGAATTGATAAAAATTATATTATAGAGGGTATTTTAGACTAAAGACATAGAGATGGGTTTAATTGAGAGACTGTTTTTTTTATGGACCAAAATACATTTAAGTCCCATGTAATGGGCCTTTTTGCCAACCGCCCTTTATTATAAACTAACTAATAAGTATTGTACTCGTATCATAAATACTATAACAATTTTCACCCCAACTGTGTGTATTGTATGTTTGTTAGAGTTATTAGTATGTTTATTACTTATTAGATCCTTTTGATTTATTTAATTTAATTTATATATTATTTTTATTTAAACGGCCAAGATGCTACCGGTGATGCCATTGCACTTCTTGGTGCCCTTGTTATGCCGTATGCTTCATTTTTCCAAACACTTATCTATAATTATATATTTTTTCATTTAAAAAATAAATAAAATTATTCATTAATTCGGAAAATTAATCGTAGTTACTTAATTTGATCTTTTTTTTTTATTTCTTTTTTAATTGCAGGCATAATCTCTTCATTCTGCTCTAGTTCTCTCCAGGAAAGTACCTAATTCCGTCCGTGGTATCAATGTAAGTTAATAAAGTAAATATGGTTCGGTTCGTTCCCTATAACAATAAATGTGTATTTAAAATAAAAATAAAAAATCAAAGTAAGCTACTCGAGTTCAATTGGTTAAATTTATTTAAGGACGCTTGTCGATATTTCTTGAACGAGAGTGGATTTGCATTGTTTGTGGCGTTTCTGATCAACGTTGCGATTGTGTCTGTATCCGCAACTGTGTGCTTAGTTGAAGAACTCAAACTAGACGACAAAGAACGTTGTAGTGATTTAACACTCAATTCTGCCTCTTTTCTCCTCAAGGTTAATTTAATACCTTTTTATTAATTTAAATTAATTCTCATAAAAAAAAAGCAAAAAAAAAAAAAAAAGCCGAGCTCCGAAATTTATTTTATTTCATGTATACGGCAGAATGTGAAATAATTTATGGTCCCGAATTCGTTTAATACAGAGGTGTTGTCTTAAGTGTTATGACACTTGAATAAACAAGCAGCGGAAATAAAAAGAACAATACTCAGAATTGAAAAATGTTCACAAGTAAATACTTGTGAACTTGCCCTTTACAGGACGGAAAAAGAATATATTAAAATCAGTATTCTAAGAATACAAATGGAAGAGGTGCGAAAACTTCTTCCTTACAAATGAATCATTCTCATGATCATTCTTACAACCAAATCTAGATACTAAAAGAAAAATATTAAAAATTCTAGATTTCAAAGAATGTACTCATAAGGAGTACGTACAACAGATCCTAGAAACACACTAAAATTCTCGAGATTAAACTTCAGCACACTTTTTGTTTCTTCGAAATCTGTGACCATCTTGAGTCTTGAGTTTGGTATTTATAGACTTGCCAAGCTTCCACTCCTCAGCCCATGATCTGCAAGAAAACCAACCACAAGAGCACTCAAGAAAGTGGGTTAGTGGGTTAGTTTGGAAGTTAAGATAAATTCCATAATTAAATCCACTAAGCACTACTTAACCCACTAACTAAAATTTAGTTTTAGAAAGTAAGAAAGTTAAAAACACAATGTGGAATTAATCCACGTGTTTCAAACTCCCCCTTTTTAACTTTCTGATCAAAACTAAATCTTAGTCAATGACTCCCCCTGAGATATTGCTTGAACTCCCCCTGAATTTGATAACAGTAGAAAAATATAGAAAAATAAATTCAAACCAAATTCAGCAAGATAGTCCAACAAAAGAAATAACCAAAGTGCAGTCCTAAACAAAAGTTCAGAGGGAAAATAAATAAAACAAAAACAAGAACAGAGTATTGTTCATGAAAACAATCTAAAGTAAAATATCCAAAGTCTCCTCAGTATCAGCTGCTGCTCCTCCATCACTAGATCCACTGCTTTCTTTTGCTCCTTGAGCTTCACCCTCATTCTTTGCTTCCTCTTCATTAACTCCTTGCTCTCTGCCTCTAGCATCCAAAGGGTGAGATGTTCCTGCTTCAGCTTCATGACCTGGGTGAGATGTTCCTGCTTCAGCTTCATGACCTCTTTCTCCCCCTTTTTTATCAGAAAGAGCCTTTTGAATCATCTCCACCATGGACTGGTGGTAGGTAAGCTGAGCTAGAGAGTGAGTAAGCTGTTGCAACAGAAGATCTCTAGGAACAGACACAAGAATGTTAGAAGTGTTGTCAACATGAGGAGCAACACCTTTAGTACCAACATTATTTTGACCTGATTTAGTTGAGAGAAAATTATCTCCATTCCAGGGAAGATCTTGGACATGAGGAGCTCTTAGAAAATTTTGAGAAACAGTGATCATGCCTTGTGGAGTGTGAAGATATTTTGAGTCATCTTGGCCCAAGTTTTGAGAGAGTAAGATGGAATAGATGAGAGAAGGATAGGGGAGATGAGTAGAGGGTGAAATTTTCTGGGCAAGATGACCAATAGTATCAAAGAACAGTTTGCCAAAATCCACTGGTAATCCCATCCCCAATTTGTACATGAGTACAGCATGAGGTTTAGTTACCACATAGACATTTTTGGATGGAATCCAATTCATCACTGTGAGTCTAAACAAGACAGAGTAAAAGGCAGTGAGTTGAGAAACTTTGAATTTTCTTGGGTGTGCAGGCCAACTTCTTAAACGGTTTCCAGAAATAACTTTGCAAATCTCAGTAAAATCACCATAATTATCCTCATCAATCACAGTAGGAGTTTGTAAATGAGAGTTGATAATTTTGGGAGAGAAAGAAAAAATGGAATTTCGCACAAAAACTTTGCCAAAGTTTGGAGAGTTTTTCTTTAAAAAAGAAGTTTGCAAATTTGCATAAAATTCTTTCACAACCATGGGATCATAAGAGCAGGCAACCTCAACTAGGGTAAGAATTTTTCTTTGGTGAAGAAAAGCAGTTATCCTATGCCTATCAAATTCTTCCTTAGAAATTTTCTTTTCCTCAATGAATTGACAATTCATGACTTGAGGACTCAAAATTGAATCAGATTCAAAATAAAAATTAGGACTGAAGGCATTGGTTACCTCAAAAGGGGTTGACAAATTCTTCCCATCCAAGTCTGGTTCTTCTTCTTCTGAGGAGTCATCATCTTCTGAATCTTCAAGCTCATCAGGGACATATGCTGGTTCAGGTGATGCAACAGGTGGGGCAACACCTTCTTTCTGCTGAGAAGATTCTTCAGAAGATTCACTTTCTGAATCAGAGGAGGGCAAGTTTTTGCGAAAAGTAGCTAGAGGAACCTCCCAGCTGTCATCACTTTGCTCTGGTTCTTCAGCCTGGGGAGGAGATGCATCTGCTTGAACTGCTGCTTCTGCCAGTGATTCCAGAGGGTCTGTCTGAGGTGCTGATGGTGTTTCTTCAGTAGTGGTGAAATCCTGAGCATCAACAGTGGGAATGTCAACATGCTCTGCAGATGACATCCCAGAAAAATCAGGCATTTCCTCATCCTGATAAGGAGCAGCATCCTCAGCAGCATGTTGAGGAACATTTGCTGAGACAGTGGGTGCAGCAGTGTAGACGCATAAAATTAATTAATTGGTTAATTAAATTAGCCAATTAAATTGTGTCTAAATTAAATTATACCTTGTCTTGCAAGACAAGTCATGGGGATAATTATAGATTAATTATTGGCCAATAGGATTATTTCTTCTCTTCCAAGTTATAAGAGATAAATATCAATTTAAAGAGAGCCAATCAAATCGCGCCACGTCATTAAGCAGACTTTAAGTAGGACTCTTATTCTACCACTATAAATAGGGACCCTCCCTTCACAATTCAAAACACAACTCAAGAAGAAGAAAAATCATAGGAGAAAATTCTCTCTACAATATTCAAGTCGTTCTTCATCAAATTCAAGGCGTTCTTCATCAAATCGAAGGAGTTCGTCAAATCGAAGGTGTTCTTCATCAAATCAAGGCGTTAAAGCGTTTAATTCGAGATTACGGTGCTAAACCCTCGAATTAACGTTATTAACATCAAATCAAGATCGAAGGAAGATTGAAGGGCCAAATCCATCAAGAACTCCAAGATCTTCAAGTCAAAATCCGTCAAAGTTCAGCGTTCGATCCGAGATTCAAGTCGCAAGACCCTCGGAAGACGTTATTCAAATCCAAATCAAATCCGGAGAAGATCAAGTCAACGACCCGTCTCCGAAATTCAAAGTCAAACACATATTGTTCTTGAGAGAATAATCAGAGGATTAAATTAGAGTTTGTAACCCGCAATATTTTATTTTAATCTAATAAATTATCTTTGTGCAGTATTTTCTTGTTTGTCTAAATCGCAGATAAGAATTTGTTGCTACAAATTTTGGCACGCCCAGTGGGACATCTCTACCTCTCATCTCTTCTCTCTCTCGAAGATCCTCAAAGTGTTGCAGTGACTGCTCTACGTTCGCAATGAAGACTGCTACTTCGGATTCATCAAGTGTGGGCTTAGTTACAAGGAGTATGGCTAAGAAGCTGCAAGCATCCTCCAAGACTAGCTCGACGCCCCAAACCGTGGAAAAAGGCTTACCACCTCTTGTCAACACAAGCGCAGACGTGGAAGGCTCAAAACGAGAGATTTCACAGCCCATGCCTCATTCAACATCAAGCTACTCAGAGATGGCATCCGTCATGACAACAAACGCTACAACTATGGAAGAAACATCCTCCAAGACTAGCTCGACGCCCCAAACCGTTCAGAAAGGCTTACCACCTCTTGTCAACACAAGCGCAGGCGTGGAAGGCTCAAAACGAGAGATTTCACAGCCCATGCCTCATTCAACATCAAGCTACTCAGAGATGGCATCCGTCATGACAACAAACGCTACAACTATGGAAGAAACATCCTCCAAGACTAGCTCGACGCCCCAAACCGTTCAGAAAGTCTTACCACCTCTTGTCAACACAAGCGCAGGCGTGGAAGGCTCAAAACGAGAGATGTCACAGCCCATGCCTCATTCAACATCAAGCTACTCAGAGATGGCATCCGTCATGACAACAAACGCTACAACCATGGAGGAGCAAATTGCAAGTTTGACAAAGGCCATTGAGGGACTCGCAAAGCATGTTCAACAACGAGATTCTCAAATTGCCGAGTTGATCAACAAGATGGACAAAGCCGATGCTAGTCAAGCTGTGGAGAATCAGATAGAGGTTCAAGACGAAGTCGAGACATCCACAAAGCAACAATCAGTTGAAAACGAGAAGGCTCCAGCTCAAGAACTTCAAGTTTCTTCAGAAGGGATGATTCATGTAGATCAAGTGATGACACTGATCAGTGGAACCATCAAAGACAAGTTGGAAGAAAGCTCGAAGTCTCCATCAACCTATGTCAAGCCATACACGCAAAGGATTGATGATCTAAGGATGCCAATGGGCTATATACCTCCAAAGTTTCAACAATTTTACGGCAAAGGCAACCCCAAGCAACATGTGGCACACTTCGTCGAGACTTGCAATGATGCCGGGACGTACGGAGATCACCTCGTCAAGCAATTCGTCCGATCGCTCAAAGACAACGCGTTTGATTGGTACATCGATTTGGGGGCAAACTCCATTGATAGTTGGAAGCATTTGGTGGAAGAATTTCTCAACCGCTTTTACAGCACTCGAAGAACAGTCAGCATGATTGAGCTCACCAATTCCCGCCAATGGAAGAAGGAACCTGTCATCCACTACATCAACCGTTGGAGAAATTTGAGTCTTAATTGCAAGGATCGACTGCCCGAGATATCAGCTATTGAACTGTGCATCCAAGGAATGCAATGGGGACTCCGATATATCCTTCAAGGAATTCAACCTAAAAGTTTTGAAGAGTTGGCCACTCGAGCACATGATATGGAATTGAGCATAACTGCAAATGAAGTCGAAGAACCTTCATTCCTAAAGTCGTATCAGCTCAGGGAAAAACATGTCGAAGAAGAATAAGAAGATCATGAGGATGGTGGCAAGTCTTTTGAAGAAACAACATCCTATGCAATGTGACAAGTCATATCAAATGAAACACTCCTTGACACGAGTCTAAAAGGTCTACAAATTCAAGTTCAAATCAGCACTCCTTGACATGAGTTTAAAAGGTTTACATGTCCAAATAAAATGAAACACTCCTTGACACGAGTTTAAAAGGTCTACATGTCCAAATAAAATGAAGCACTCCTTGACACGAGTTTAAAAAAAGGTCTACAAGTCCAAATCAAGTTAAATACTCCTTGCCACGAGTTTAAAATGTCTACAAATTCAAATCAAGTGAAATACTCCTTGACACGAGTTTAAAAGGTCTACATGTCCAAATCAAACAAAGTACTCATTGACACGAGTTTAAAAGGTCTACATGTCCAAATCAAACAAAGTACTCATTGACACGAGATTAAAAGGTCTACATATCCAAGTCAAATCAAGGCTCATTGATACGAGCATAAACTATTTACATATCCAAATCAAGTCAAGGCTCCTTGATACGAGCATAAACTATCTACATATCAAAATCAAGTCAAGGCTCATTGATACGAGCATAAACTATCTACATATCCAACTCAAATCAATGCTCCTTGATACGAGCATAAACTATCTACATATCCAAATCAAGTCAAGGCTCCTTGATACGAGCATAAACTATCTACATATCCAAATCAAGACAAGGCTCCTCGATACGAGCATAAACTATCTATATATCCAGATCAAGTCAAGGCTCATCGATACGAGCATAAACTATCTATATATTGAAATCGCGTCAAGGCTCCTTGATACGAGCATAAACTATCTACAAATTCAAGTCAAATGCTCCTTCAGCACGAGCTTAAACTGCAAATGTTTCTCATTGTCCACATGAGTGTAAACTGTGCATGACATTCCTCAAAAGGATATATTTTGAACTACGTTATGACTTGATCCCTTTATAGGGTACGTAGGCAACTTAGAATCTCTCTAAGTCCAGTCATGATTTCAAAAGTTATATGTGCTTTGCTAGATCAAGCTGCAATTGAAGTTGAGCAATTATCGAGACTCGTCCACTCCAAGATGCATTGTCCGTGAACAAGTCTCGAGGGGGCATTTGTAGACGCATAAAATTAATTAATTGGTTAATTAAATTAGCCAATTAAATTGTGTCTAAATTAAATTATACCTTGTCTTGCAAGACAAGTCATGGGGATAATTATAGATTAATTATTGGCCAATAGGATTATTTCTTCTCTTCCAAGTTATAAGAGATAAATATCAATTTAAAGAGAGCCAATCAAATCGCGCCACGTCATTAAGCAGACTTTAAGTAGGACTCTTATTCTACCACTATAAATAGGGACCCTCCCTTCACAATTCAAAACACAACTCAAGAAGAAGAAAAATCATAGGAGAAAATTCTCTCTACAATATTCAAGTCGTTCTTCATCAAATTCAAGGCGTTCTTCATCAAATCGAAGGAGTTCGTCAAATCGAAGGTGTTCTTCATCAAATCAAGGCGTTAAAGCGTTTAATTCGAGATTACGGTGCTAAACCCTCGAATTAACGTTATTAACATCAAATCAAGATCGAAGGAAGATTGAAGGGCCAAATCCATCAAGAACTCCAAGATCTTCAAGTCAAAATCCGTCAAAGTTCAGCGTTCGATCCGAGATTCAAGTCGCAAGACCCTCGGAAGACGTTATTCAAATCCAAATCAAATCCGGAGAAGATCAAGTCAACGACCCGTCTCCGAAATTCAAAGTCAAACACATATTGTTCTTGAGAGAATAATCAGAGGATTAAATTAGAGTTTGTAACCCGCAATATTTTATTTTAATCTAATAAATTATCTTTGTGCAGTATTTTCTTGTTTGTCTAAATCGCAGATAAGAATTTGTTGCTACAAATTTTGGCACGCCCAGTGGGACATCTCTACCTCTCATCTCTTCTCTCTCTCGAAGATCCTCAAAGTGTTGCAGTGACTGCTCTACGTTCGCAATGAAGACTGCTACTTCGGATTCATCAAGTGTGGGCTTAGTTACAAGGAGTATGGCTAAGAAGCTGCAAGCATCCTCCAAGACTAGCTCGACGCCCCAAACCGTGGAAAAAGGCTTACCACCTCTTGTCAACACAAGCGCAGACGTGGAAGGCTCAAAACGAGAGATTTCACAGCCCATGCCTCATTCAACATCAAGCTACTCAGAGATGGCATCCGTCATGACAACAAACGCTACAACTATGGAAGAAACATCCTCCAAGACTAGCTCGACGCCCCAAACCGTTCAGAAAGTCTTACCACCTCTTGTCAACACAAGCGCAGGCGTGGAAGGCTCAAAACGAGAGATGTCACAGCCCATGCCTCATTCAACATCAAGCTACTCAGAGATGGCATCCGTCATGACAACAAACGCTACAACCATGGAGGAGCAAATTGCAAGTTTGACAAAGCCATTGAGGGACTCGCAAAGCATGTTCAACAACGAGATTCTCA